TCTTGGACGAGGATGCCCTTCCCTAGTTCCTTCAATGATACATCAAGTGTCAATTTGGAACATCACGAATTTGTTTTGACATGTCATCTGCCTTTCAAGAGTTTTTGCTATTTTAGACCTGAAGTGGTGCATGATACCACATACCGTTTTCACTTTCCAGGGACACGCAATGGAACAAAATCAACTATATTCTGTTGATTGTTGTCTCCTTAATAGCTTTAACATGTGTCGCTAAATTGTTGCAGTCGGACTCCGGAAGCAATCAGTACCATACGGTATGCCTCTTCTTTTGATATTTCACAATATTCAAGAAGAGCATTTAGGACTTGGCCCAAGCTCGCTTGTTGGATTTCGAGAAGCAACTATCACAGCTTGCTGTTGATTATGAAAATATCACCAAGGAAGAGCTACGAGTTATTTTTCATGTTGGAAGACAGGTGTGCTGAAAGAAACTTATTGATTTTCCTTTCGAGAACCCCTGAATTCTCGCACGAGAGCACGATTTTCACAATTTTGCAGTGGTTTCTGATGCTTCAAAGACGACCCATGGTTCTGATTATCGCAGGGGAAGAAAGTGAACATTTTGCTCATATGCTTTCGGAAGTGTTTCGTACTTCTTTTCAAATACCTTCACCTATAGTCGATCTTGATTTATCTTCTGAATCGATCAGGTCGGAGCTTCATGACAGCTTGGATCGCGGTAAGATTTTTGTTCTAAGTGTGTTTGTCTACTGATAGCTTCATCTTTACAGTTGCGCACTCCACAGTTCCTTTAGCGATATTGGATGGTGTAGAGTACCTTGGGTGGGACGCTCCACTCGCCCTTCATGCATTTGCTGATGATTCGTCCACCACTCATCCACATACATTGCTCTTTTTGACAATAAAAAAATCATTTCACAGAGATGCAAAAGAATGTGAGCAATCAGTTATGGAGTGAGTTTCGCTTGGTCTTTCTTACATTTTTTGTGTCTTCTGTACTTTTTTTGTTGGATATTATCATGCGCGCTCACCTGATTTAAACCTTTCATCTATTCTTCAATTTTTTTTTTACAGTCATGAGAAGAGAATGATAGAAACACCCATCTATTAGATTTAACCAGTTCTTTAATTTTCAGTAGGCTCACAATCGTACAGCATAGGCTTTTACTCACAAATAGTCGTTGGGCATCGCTTGCGGCTACGCATGTCTCATGCACCTCATTTTGAAATAGTTTTAGCACATATGCATTTGATTTTTGCTCTTAA